ATGGAATCACCTTTGTCTAAGTCATTATGCTCAAAGATTTGGCTGAGCTCATGATACAATTGCATGATTTCTGTTCGGAATACCTTTTTTAAAGTCAGAGAATAAATGTCTTGATTCAGTGATCAAAATGAAAGCCGAAAGGATATTTATTGCCGCTTGGAGCGACTAAACGTGCAGTTGCAGGTAAGACGTCAGTGACAAAGTAAGGCTAGCCTTTGACAGCCGGAGCTTGGGGGGGGGGGGGGGATCACTTACACCTGAGATATATCTTACCCAGTCTGACTCCTTCTCTCACCTCCACTTTCTCACTTATCGTCCTCTCTGCCCTGTGCGTACTCTCAAATATTCATGACCATGCAGCCAGTGTCATCTTAGAATATATCTAAATGGGAAGCCCAAGGCAGAAGCAAATCATCCTACTATGAAATGTTCTGGTCCTCGACGAATGTTAAAGCCGTCATCTATAAACTTCCCTCCATCAGCCCCTTCTTCTTCTTCTTATTTCACTTCTTGTGAACAGACATGGCATATAACACAAAATGGAAACATTTGCAAAATGTATTTTAACATATATTCAGTGGTTGCCATGCCATATGTGCTCTGTGCTTTTCATTGCAGTGAATCAGCTCGTGGCACAACATCTGCTATTAGAGCTGAAAGTGATATGTAAAACTTTTGACAGCTGATTTGTAAAACACACACACACACTCACATAGCAAACTCCCCCCATGCTTGCTTTCTCTGTCTCAGAAGCTAAATTAAATGACTGAGCCTTGGCTGAGTGATTCTGCCACTTAAGCATTTGGAGGCGGACGCATTGTGCCAGCTCATGTTCAGGGTCATGCTAGTGTCACTTAAAGAGTCTCTAATGAGACCCAGACAGGCACACAGTGTCCAGCCGAGCAGAGCCGAAAATCTGAAAGCCACAGTATGAGAGCACTAGTGCAAAGAAAAAAGGTATTGAAAGGCCACTACATGAGGTGTAATGAGAGAAATAGACAGTGAAGATTTTATAGTAAAAAAACACAACAGAATCTCCTGATCCGGCATTTTTCTTTTTAAAATTGTCACAGAAAGTTGGATGCATCTAACAGAAAGTTGTGTAGAAGAGAGTTAAAAAGGCTCACCAGTGACTGTACGGTAAGGCTGTTTATTCAGTCTTAAGATTAAAAGTCAAGCTTGAGTGAAATGCTGTGTTTTATATAAGATATTTATGACAGACTGTCAGGAGCCACTGAGATATATCACTCACAGAGAGACAGAGTGAAGGACAGGATGAAAAATGGAGAGACATTAAACATTTCCAAATTCAAAAGCAGTTAAAAAAGTATTTAATCCAGTGTCTATACGTTACAGTAGATAGGGCTCCACAATATGCAAAAAACAACTCATTTAGATTATATTGAACCATATTGCAAACTGCGACATGTTGACGACTCATTATTGAAACATTGACATTATCAAAAATATATATTAAAATGATTATAGTGATTTTGAGAGGATCTTTACTAAACAAGCATTTTTCATTAAATCTGTAGAATACCGTTGGTGAGCTGGGACCGTGCAGCACCAAATAACTTATTATTCAGATATTTTCACATATTTAGCATTTACCAAATATTGCATTTAGTCCGTATTATTATAGTGTTAACAGAAGCTCCTAAATACGAAAACTGCCTGTTTTAATATAGCTATACTTGAATATTTTACCAGGCACCAGTAAAATATTTGTATATGTAGACATTAGCTTGCCCAGCCACATTCTGTTCAGTCAAACCTCTGGTGGCAACGCACAGGAGGAGGAGGTGGGGATTGGATTGAGAGTTGATACAGTGTGGAGCTCACATGGGTGTTGTTCGACATGAATATTCAATACACACCTCAGAATAAACCATTGTGTTTCCATTTCAAGCAAATTCCATCTGGGATTGTGTTTCAAGGCTGAAGAGGCAACAGGTGAATGTCTATACAGCGAGGCACTAAAGATAATGCCATTCCACAGACATGCGAAAACATGGTGTGCTATACAGTATTTGAAATTCAAATAAAAGTAAACTGATCATCTGTTAAAATTACACTGGGTGATAAAGCAGCAGCAAACTCAGTGAACAAGCTCACAACCATTTTGTAACATTTGGCAAATGATGGTACCCTGGCACAGTGCTGCACAATCTGGAAAGAAGCTGCAGCAGGCTGAATGCATAACTAGTTGGACAGATAAATTATCAGCAGGTGGAGTTTGTATTAGCCTCCATCTACTCCCATCTTTTTTTTGTTAATACCAAGAGACAGGATGCCTGCAGAAGCCATAGAGGGAACAAAACATATTTTCAGGCCACTATTAAATTTGTACAAACACATTTTACATTTCTTGGCCTTGATTTAATAAAAGTATGTCTATATTTTGACCGATCTCCGGGCACAAATTAAATAATGAAATGCACAAGGCCAAGTCATTCATTCCAGACGCCACCTGCGTAGGACACCTTGGTTGCAGAAGGCCATGGAAAGGGAGTCTTTAATTGAGCTTCACTTTTGCTTAGTTGTTGTTGAGTTATTGTCAGTTGGCAGCTACCAAGTTGAAACTAATGTGGCCTTGCAAGCTTATTATCAAATGAATGTATCACTACTTGGAGCCGGTGACATTGACTTCATCCTTCAAGGATAAAGTCTGGTCTGTTGAGATGGCTTTCTGTAAATATACTTATATTGTGCGCAAAATAAATACAAACCTATTAGTAAATTGAGGCTACCAATTCACAGTCTGTGCTCGGATAAATAAATGGTAGCCGAGGTTAAACTCTACTGAGAAGAAAAGTCTCTACTGAGAAGAACACATTTGTCAGTTAAACTTATTCTGATGTATGAATTTACAGCTCCTCATAATAATCTAAGATCGACTATCTTATCGACTATAAGATTGACACAAATGTCATTTGAATTGTCCAGAGGAAATAGTTTTTGGAGGTGCTTGAACAAAACAAGATGTTTGATGGAGCTCAGGATCTTGAAGAGATAAAGCTTTCTGTATTCATGATGGTTGAAATGTATGAAGACAGAATATGTGCAGAGCGGTAAACCAGTCTTTGACTTAGAAAAACATACAAGCTTGTCTTCCAATTTAAGTCAAGCTTGGTGAGATATCTGAAGATGAAAGCGATGAATGAAGATAGTCAGACTGTTTGACTCTGCATAACACCTCGCTGTTGGGTCTGCATAAAGGAACTGTCTCTGCAGGTGGAAAAAAACAACAGTTTCAGGCCAAAGCAAACACCATTTTGCACAACCCACCCACCTTGGTTCAAGACACCACAGCTTACTCTGTACCGGCGTTAAAACAGAGGCCTTAATGTGATCCATTTTCAAATACTAACAGCTGCAATGAAGGAGTCCTTACTCACCGTAACACTCATGAATGTTTCATAGTAAGTGATGCCAAATTAAGATCTTGGCGCCCAGGGTTGTGGGCCGTTTGATTAGGATCATGCGTACACCCACACTGGAGAGCCTGTTATAACGTCTGTTTAAAAATGTCTGAATCACAGGGCCCACCCATTCAGAAGATCATGTCTGGCATTCCCACTGATGTGCCGCCGGATTTTCCCATGGGATCAACACTAAAGGATGGGCTGCCCGGCTTGAATGCTCCAAGACTCAAGGGTTTGGACTCAGACTGCCTTCAATTATTGATATCCGAGAGAGTACTATAATTCAGTGCCTGTTATAAATCAGCATCTCTGAAATCTGTAGGATATTTATAAACATAATGAGATTCTGCTGAGGATTTCTCGCAGCTTTTCATGTTCATCCTCTGTAAAGTTTAAAGCTCCATCCAACGCATGAAGGATGACTACTTCATGGCGGGCTCTAAAAACATTCTCATTATCATCTCTCTCTTACGACGGAGTATTAGGGACACACTTAGAAAAAAAACAACAGAGAGATTTCGAGAATAAAGTCGCAATAATACGAGAATAAAGTCATAATTACGAGATTAAAGTCGTAGTTTCATAAGTGACTTGAGAAGGAGACAACAGGAGCGTCCTGCAATAAAATGAGGAATGTGGAGCATCTTGTGAAGCAGTACTTTAGTTTAGGTTTCTCAAATAACGAAATACTTAATCTTTTGGCACATCAGCATCAGATTATCAGAAGTATTAGAACTTTGAAAAGGTTGTGCAAGAAACTATGTCTATTATTTCGAAGAAAGAACCAAACGGACTTGGAGGAGATTGTCTCCTTTCTGCAGGAGGAAATGGCTGGTTCTGGCCGACTACAAGGCTATCGTTGGTTACATCTACGAGCTGTTCAAAGGGGATTTGTTGTTTCACAAGAAACGATGAGACTTGTAATCAAGGCTTTGGATCCAGAAGGAGTCGAACGATAGCCTTTTAGTGGAATCATTGACATCAGGACAGCAGATAGCTTACACATCTTCCGGCGCAGACTGAAAACTCATCTCTTTCGACTCCACTTCGAGCGATAGAATTACTAACAAAGAATTGCTAACAAAGCACTTATATACTAACAAAGGACTGGCTTATCTAAAGCCAGTTGAGTAGCACTTGAAATGTTTGGCTCTATGAAACCTGATGTACTTATATGATTCTGTTTTCTTCAAGGTTGTGTCTTCCTGGTCGAACGCACTTATTGTAAGTCGCTTTGGATAAAAGCGTCAGCTAAATGCAATGTCATGTAAGGTAGTCGGCCAGAACCAGCCATTTCCTCCTGCAGAAAGGAGAGAATCTCCTCCAAGTCCGCTTCTCAAGTCACTTATGAAACTACGACTTTAATCTCGTAATTATTACTTTATTCTCGTAACATTATGACTTTATTCTCATAATTACGACTTTATTTTCGTAACTATAACTTTATTCTCGTAATGTTACGACTTTATTCTAGAAATCTGTTTTTTTTCTTCTAAGTGTGGCCTTAATACTCCGTCGTACTCTCTCACACACAGTCGATTTTCAATATGCAACACACAATTGTTTACTCACTGATTCCTGGCTCTTATCCTTTGCATCATACACAGTTAGCTTGACTAGTGTCTCCGGGCTGGCAGGATACTCTGACGGGAAGGTCACTCCTGTCAGAAACAGGGGGTCTTTGTTCGCCTGTCAGAGAGAGGGACAACACAGAGAAAGGGTGAGACACTTTATGTGTGTGTGTGTGTGTGTGGTGGTGTGTACATTATATGCACAGAAGTACTGCAACACAAATGTTAAAAGGAAAAAGAAGCAGGAAGCCGAAGGGATAGAAAGAAGGAGGGAGATTTTGGTGGGTAACTAAGCCAACAGCTGGGCTCAGTCTGTCCTCCTCCTCCCCTCGGCGTTTCTCCACACTCCCTCACCCCCCACCCCCACCCCCACCCCCCCCCTCCTGCTGCTGCCTCTCCTGGGTACAAAGAGAGAAGATAGAGCTCTCCCTGGTGGGTCTACCTGGAGCTCTGGCATAACTACAGTATCTCAACAGAGACTGCAGGCGAGGAGCAACAAATGTTGACAGGTAAATTGGCACAGCGGCATTCTGGGCAATGGGATGGAAGCGGTGTCCACAGCAGCAAACACACCAGAGGGCTGCATGGCATTAGCTAATTTTCACTCAAAACTCTTTCATCCATTTGGAACAGCAGGGCTCGTTTTGCCATGGCCTGCAGAGACCTTGCTTTTATTGCACTGTAAAAATGTCTCAACAAGGTTGTGACTGGCATTTACTTCAGATTGAAACCTCTCTAAAACAACTGCAGAGTGAAGACTTTTATGCCACTTGTGTCACTTGTTGGGAGAAATTGGTTTTCAGACAAGAGAGAGAACAATGAAATAAGGCGGGTTTCTCTGCCTCCCTAGTTTCAATCTTTCTTTTTTTACGGATTTTTCTGACAGTCTTTTATACCCCAGGAAGTTTACTTCGGATGTAAGAACCTTTTAAAGAAACTCAAAAATGGACGGTCTAGGGACAATATGTTACCCTTTCCTAAAGCTGTTCGTCTACTATCCCATCATTCAAGGGTTTTCGCTATAAGTAATGATATTTCTTTTGGACGGAAACTATAATTTACATTTTTTTACTATGTTCAATCTGAATTTACTTTAAAAATAAAAACATCTATATTGATTCTGACTCTTCTACATCCAACTCACAGGTGTATCATTGCTTTGAGAACAAATATTATTAATTTACCCCTTTTAGAAGTAAAGATATAGTCATTTGTTCTGGGAATGTCATTTTCAAGCCTGAGACCTGAAAAACAGGCTCAGGGCTTAACAGGTTAAAGTCTGCATGTAGGGGTTAGTACTTGTAGAACGTTCAGGAACATGATTCACAGCACAGCATCAATCTGCAGCAGCAGTGTGTTTTTGTTCATTGTCCAAAGCTTTGTCACATCAAAACTGGACTTACAGAAGAAATCCTAAAGATGGATTGACAATGAAAACTAGGCGACGTTGAGCTTAAGTATAAGTAAAGTGTGAATTGTGAAAGGAGACCACACACTCATAAGGTATAAAGGAAAATCTCCAGCAATATGATTTAAACTGTCCATTTTGGGGGAACATTATTATGATGGAACTGTATCAACCAGTGTTTTCAAAAGATATGTTATAATTTAAATGAAGTTAGAGATTCAGCTGGCGTGATGCATGCCTTTGTAGCTCAATTGTTGAGCCTAGTATGGAATCTCCAATGAATAAAAGTGAACTGAATGGCACCAGGAGCTGATCGGTCTTTCTTGAAAACAAGGATTGTTAAGCCACTTGGTGTTGTCTACTTAAACCAATTCAAAGCACTTTGTGTTTACACGAGGGGCTTCCTCTCCCCCTGCTGCACTCTGATGGGCGTCTCTAGAACACAACCCTCTGGGACCCAGTGGGACCGGCTGGGAGACGTAATGAGACTGACACAGACAGACTGGCAGACATGTCTGAATGTATGGTAACGCCCTTCAGTGAAACAAACAACAGCAAAGAAATTAGGCCTGGTCATTTGAAGGTAGATATACATTTTAAATATCATGGTTGAAAATGTCCAATATCAATTTGAATGACACATTTATTTAGTTGGATGAAACTTACTTCGCTTAGAATCTTTCATTTGGACAAAACAAAAATAATCACAATTCAAAATGTATTAACATTTGAATGTTGTGGCTGGAATCTGTTATCCCAAAATTGGTAACTTCATACTGTATCTCAAATGTTGCTAACTGTGTATCAAACCTTGATATATGATTTAATGTTGATACAATACCATTGAATTTGAAGTATTGCATTGGGGAATACAATAAATCAAATCAGACACCATGGGCATGATGAATTTGGTCTACTTGAGTATAAACTCACATCACTGCAATACATAAGTTGATCAACCACATTGTGTTGTATTGATTCTGCCCACTGGTGGCGGCATGTAACGTATAACAATAATGGCATCGCAGTTCTTTGATTGACCCTCACTGTCCATCCACTCCGTTTAAACGACATATTGTTAAGCTACCAGGCTGGTTAACTACTAGTACTGGTGGTAGCACACAGGAAATGTTCACTTCTGCAAAGCAAGTCAAGTATTTGGCGGCACATTCCTGGAGTAGATCAATCAAAAAAGAAGAATAAAGAACAGGCTGAAAGGTTAAAAGAAATGTGCTGTAAAGTTGTGTTCACAGATAAAAAAGTGACCAGGGATTATTATTTATTTGTTATGAACACAAATACAATGTAAGGTTTATTTTAAATTGTATGCAGTTTTTGGCCAGCCAAGTAATATTTTGGCTGTATAATTCTTTCAGTTTACCTGCCATTGGCAGATACACCAAAAACTACATTCTGGACCCGGACTGAAACTCTGGTAAGATGCAGACCAACAAGCCTCGAGCTCTTGGCTACAGGGTGTTTGGAGCCAAAGCATGAAGCGCCAGTAATACTGTACAGCAATGTTCTTAACACAGACACACAGAGGCAGACTTATGAGTTTAACTGCAAAATCACTCACATAGCGAACACACAGACACACCACCTCACCACTAGCCCTGCTGAAGCTTCAGAAATCTTCCATATGCTGACAGAGGGGAAATAAAACAAGTCTATCGCTTCTTGTTTCAGCCTCCCTAGACATGGTTATACCGGTCGTGATGCCCGGTGCCGTTTTGCCGCCAAGCCATGAAGGTTTGTGGTTTGTGTTCGCTAACATCCCAAACAAACAGCCTGATTCAGCACAGCGGGTACAGACACAGTGGAACCAGTGCGCTGCTTTGGGCTCAGTGCAAAGCTTCATATATATCAGTACTGGATACTGACAAAAAGACAGGCAGGACCATTATACCCAAGAATGTGCAGGTACACACATATACACACACATGCACACATAATCCCTTACACTTCCATCACTGGCACTCTGAAAAGGCCTCATTCAGACTTACCAGCATGGTTGGCAGCCTCAGCTGCGGCTCAATCTTCTTAGTGCTACTGATGGGCTGAGATGAGCTAAAGTGGTAAGCCCGTCTCCATTTACACAGAAATAAGCCAGTCTGTCATACAAGTGGTCAACATATGCTATGAGAGACAGCTGCCCCTCTCTTGTCTTTTTGTCCGTTTGGGTTGCAAACCTCAGAGGAATGGCCAATTAAGACCATTAGTAAGAGGGTGTGTGTGATTGTGTTGGGGGGAGGGTGACGTATTCTATCTTGAATCGTGCTGGAGTTTTTCTCTCTCCCTTGACCACTCATAATTACACACACATACACAGACTAGACTTTTTGGACTTGTTCCAGGCAGGGGGTTCTTCGCTCCACTAGCATGGCATCAAAGGCGATGTTATCTCCTAGCTTTGCGTCAAATCCCTTCAAGTAGCGCCACCCCTGGGACCACTGCCCATGTTTTAGGAAAGGGATTTTCCTACGAGATACTAGATAGCATTTTTGTGTCTCCTGCTTCAAATTCCTTTTGCACTTTAATGAGATTTAGAGGGCTTTAGATTTTCTGCTTAAGTTGTCAATGGTCCTTTCTGTTTTACCAACACTAGATTAAGATAGACTCGCTATATGGAGATACAAAAAGGGTCTGTGTTTTGAGAAAAGCCGGTACTGTGTCCCAGTTCCATACGTGCCAAGGATAACAGTGCACTATTTAGGAAGTAAGAAACAAAGAAATAAATGTAACCGCCTGTGTTATACCAATTAGAATTCAAACAAGGCCTGCATTAATCGGTGGTGCCTGATTTGACAGATGCCAAATATATGTACCCTCTTTTCCATTTCTGATTCATGCAAATTAACAAATGTTTTCACAGTAGTACACATTTTTCCTATGTACAGAAATGAAATGTTTTTGTTAAATTATATATTGCTGAAAAACACTGACTTATTACTGGGAACATTAGAAGAACTTTGGTTATACACACATAACTTGATCAAACTAATCTCCAAACCACAAATGTATTTAAATATAAGAACATGTAAAAAGGATACCACACCCTCTGTTACTCGACATCCATTCTATTTGTAGTGCTCAGGTGTTAAGACTTGCCTGCACAGTTGCTGGTTATTGCCTACATAAATGACTTACTGACCTTAAATTATACTTTATTCTGTCACTAATTTCATCTGTTCACACACTAAAACACAGGGTAACACATTGATTTAGGTTGCTGTAGCAGCAAGACCTTTAAGAGATATTTAGAGGCAGTGTGTTCTAAAACTGACTTTTCAAATAAATTACACCTAGAGAGGTCATTTATTTTAACTAAAGAGAAGTCCAGGTCCAACATGATTACATGCTCACCAGTTTCTTTTGTATCTGACCCCTGTCTAGTGATTCATGGGTAAGACTAAAGAGAGCTTGTTCCATCATTTATCTTCTAAATGAAACCCTAATATAATCTGCCGTGGATCCCTGATAATACACCTATCACACGGACTAATGCTGAAGCCTTCGTGCAGGAGCCGGCTGCAGCTGTTGGCAGCAGGCATCCCGGGAATGTGACAACAGGAGAAACACAAGTGGCAGTTGTGCAGTCTTCAGATTCATTTACACACGCAGTGGGGCTTTCCGGTACGCACACACACACACACACACACACACACACACTCGCACATACACCCAAACACTCAAACACACAACAGCAGGTCCACCTTTGGCCACACAGGTTAATGAACATCTGCTGTTATGCATGTTGGAAGGCGATGTTTGAGTGTGAGACCACAGTGTCCTGACAAGCAACCTCTGTTCCTCTAAAAAACATTAAACTTGGACTTAATTCAAAGAAGTCACATTTAATTTCCTCAATGTCATGCTGCTTCTGGGTCAAAATATCATCATAATACTGATCTGATTGCTCTGATTACTGTGAAAAGTGTTAAATATACTACTATAAGTTATATTAGAAAATGATACTAGACTACCTCGACTAATAAAATGAATATATTGCAGATGAAACTCCACAGACTATCTTAAACACTTCTTATGAGGCTGCAAACCTCTCTTTTGAAACCGACTTATAAAATCACACATACCCGTTTCTTGTTAAGTAGAAAGCAGTCCATATCCTCAGATGCTGCTCCAAATCCTGAACATTACAGCCATGAAATCAAAACTCTAGCAGCACTCAGAGTTTCTGCAGAGCCGGCTCAGCCAGCATACTGTACAGTATTCTACCACATCCTGTGTTTCTACGCACACACACTGATTTTCCCTTGACAGGACCGAGGGGGAGAGCAGTGGAAAAGCAGTCTTTCACAGAGACGGTTCTGCTCATTTAGCTTGAATGGATTAGCAGGGAAATAATATGCGGCAGGAAACTTTGCCCTCATATGAGGAGAGAAGAAAAAAAGTGTGTGTGTGAGGGAGTGTATCTGTGTGTAAGGGGGTGTTGCATAGTGGGACGGTGGGCAGCTGTTGCCTCCCAAAAAACACTTGTGTGACTGTTTCCTTGGCAACAGCACTGTCAAACTGGAGGCAATAAAAGAAGCATTTAAAGAGGTTAAAGACCACAGACACTCACTGTATGAAACACTTACTGTACATACTGAGATATCTATTGGTACTATGTATGGCACTTTTATTTCTCCAAGTGAGGAAATACAAAGTTAACTGTTTGCATAATTCTGTTGAATTCATACACATACTTGATAAATAATTACTGAAGTGCATGCCACGCAAAAGAGCCAATGTGATGAAGGTGATATGGATCAGCAGGTTAAGAGACCAATACATAACATCACAACGACAGCTCCGCAAACAAAAAGCTCTAATTTATATATGTATCAGCGTAACAACACACATTTGATGTAAAAACTGTAATAAAAATCTGTATATTACTATTTTGTATTCAATGGAGACACTTTATAGGTATATATTTTCTGTTTCTGTAATTGTGTGCAATGCCTTGTCTCCATGCTGTGACAAAATCATTTCCCAAACTGGGATCAATGAAAGTATCTGTAATATAACCATACATCTAATACTGATAGAAATAAAGAATAAATTAATACATTTTGGAGAAACCGTTTGCATGATGATATAAGATCAGAAGCGGATGTTTCTCCATCATATAAATATATTTTTTTATAACTGGCCAATCTGATGTTTGTATCGCCCTGTAGGGTTGAGTTGTGGCCATCTGCGCACAGAAGCACATGTTGCAAAAGGAGAAGCTTTTCATACTATACAGCAGCTGTGAGGAGCAGACACTGTAAACATCTCCTTCAATCATTCCTTCAGACTGATTTCCTGATTCTCCTGCAGGGCCAAAACTAAACTGAGTGCAAGTCACAGGTAAACTCCAGCACTAAAACAAACCAGCAGCACTACACCCCTGGATATGAGACTGGTTGAGAGGCACACATCAACTGTTTTAAATGTGCCAGGAAAAAGAAAGTTATAGCTCATCGTGTGTTCCAGTTCAATGAGTCAGATGCGGAAAAAAAGGTTTAGAAAAAGAAGGGCAGACTGAGAACCAGTGACCCAGAGAGACAGCAAAACAACAAACATCAAAGGTCAAGCAAAGAGAGGAAGGTGTATGTGTGTGTGTCTGTGCAGGTGTGTGTGTGCAGGTGTGTGTGCGGCCTTACCTCCACTATCTCTGTGCAGGCATGAGAGACGAGGAGCTGCTTGTGGGGATCTATGACAGACACCTGGACCAAAGCATTGGGCTTCCTGTCTCTGCCGGGGGGCAGCAGATCCGTGCAGGCTGCAGAGAGGGAGAGAGGGAGGGGGGAGGAGGGAGAGAGGAGAGGGAGAGGACAGAAATCAAGATGAGAGATAATCCTTCACGATAACACACATAGGTGACACAAATCACACGACACTGAATCACAGGAGAATGTGAAAATAGATGAGAGAGCAAAGCGGTAAACAAACAGGTGAAGAAAGGATTTATAAATACTGCTGTCAGATTAGATGTGACATTTTGCACAGAAAATAACACATGAGTTTAATCTGCTGTTATCACTTCTCTGAAGCCTCTTCTCAAAACATTATCAAGGTTTTAGGAAACATAACATACATAGGGATTGAGAAATAAAATGGTTGCCTCAGTACTTTATTAAAATGCCAGTGTAATTTCCCTCTGGCAGTGACATATCTGTTTTATATGGGCTTTTATTTTCCAACAATAAAAGCATCTTGTCACTCAGCTCCACTGGCTTCCAAGGACAGGAAAGACTTTGCATCCCACAATTCCTTTAAAGGAAACCAGCGTTTCCTGGTTACGAATAGAAACTCCCCTCAACCAGATAACACTCGCTGATCCCATCGCAGCTAAACGGATGCATCTTCATTGATAAACACGTCGTCTGTAGAAATAAATCGTAGTTATCTCCTAAAAGACACACATGCAATTGTAAATGTGCACTTTTGATCGAGTTTTGCAGGAAAAAAAAGCTGTGACTCTTCTCGCCACATTAAAATAGAAGGCCTGTAAAAACATCCAGCCTGAAACCAAGTAAATTAAAACATATGGCTCTTAATTGATCTATTAACGGACATTTGTATACACTCAAGTACACTAATGACAAACATGTGTTCAGTAAGCTCCCTGGGTCCTGTCCAAGAGATGGCTTTTTTTAATTTATCCAGCACAATTTTGGCATGTAAACGGCAATTGATCTGCTCGCAATGCCTGGTCCTGGTTTCACACATTACTCTGCAAAGCAAAGTGTGGATAATACCACTCAGGGGTTGAAATTCAGTAAAAAAAACAACAACAAAGGCAAAAAACGGTGGGTTTGGTTTATAAAGGGGCCCTATCCAGTGGCGGTTCTAGAACATTTTACATGGGGGGGCAAAGGGGAGGCAAGAGGTCATGCCAGGGTGGCATAGGAGGGCGGACAGTACGTGGTATTTTATACTCCTATTTATTGTTAATTCATGCCCTAACACAAGTGTTCTTAATGCACAAGAGAAACAAGGTGTTCAGACAAACAATCGGGTGCCCTTTGAGTCCCCCAAGCTTACCTCAACCATTTTAAATGAAAGGAAACTACAAAATGTATTTTAAAGCAATGAATTAATGGAACAGGTTGTTTTGCATTACAATGTAAAATTAAATATATATTTTGTTTTAGACAGACACAAAAATTGGTTGTCTTAGACAGACATATTTGCATGTCCTCACTAAGCATTATTACATATTAATTTAATATTAAACAAATCAAAATGGCCAATTATCCCAAAAAGTTGCTGCTAATATAATCATATGCTTGTCAACTTTAGGCCACCAGGGTGGGTGGAGGGGGACCGGAGAAGGGACACAAAACTAGGGCCAACAGGGTGGGTGGAGGGGGTCTGGAGGACGGGCTTGGGCTGACAGCCCAGGGGCAAGGCAGAGCTTGAAAAGGGGGTCATGGAGGGGCGAAGGTAGTGGCAGGAAGAGTCAGGGGGCCAAAGAGTAGTTTGCGGGACCTCCAACGGGACTGGACATGGAGCCGGAAGGACCCCCAGCGGAACCTCCATCGGCATAGGACATGGGATTGGCAGGACTCCCGGCAGGAGAGTAGACGGCGGGACCCTCAATGGGACTGGACATGGAGCCGGAAGGACCCCCAGCGGAACCTCCATCGGCATAGGACATGGGATTGGCAGGACCCCCGGCAGGAGAGTAGACGGCGCGACCCCCAACGGGACAGGACATGGGATTGGCAGGACCCCCGGCAGGAGAGTAGACGGCGGGACCTCCAACGAGACAGACATGGAGTTGGCAGGACCCCCAGCGGAACCTCCAACGGACCAGGACATTGGGTAGGGACTTGAGACGTGACTCAAGTAGGGACTCGAGAGGAGACTCGAGAGGGGAACTAGAGAGGGGACTCCAGAGGGGACTAGAGGAGAGATTAGAGGAGGGACTAGAGGAGGAACTAGAGGAGGAACTAGAGGAGGAACTAGAGGAGGAACTAGAGAAGGGAACTCGAGAGGGGACTCGAGGAGGGACTAGAGGAGGGAACTCGAGAGGGGACTCGAGAGGGGAACTAGAGAGGGGACTAAAGGAGGGACTAGAGGAGGGAACTCGAGAGGGGACTCGAGAGGGGACTAGAGGAGAGACTAGAGGAGGGGCTAGAGGAGGGGCTCGAGAGGGGACTCGAGGGGGAACTGGAGAGGGGACTGTGGCGGCCGGGACCATGGCTGCTCGGGCCAGAACTGGGGCTGAAACCATGGCTGCTGGGGACTGTACTAGGTCTGGAACCATGGCCGGAAATATGGCTGTATGATCCAGTTCTGAAGCCGGAAACATGGCTGTATGGGCCGGCTCTGGAGACGGAATTGAAGCCAGAATCATGGCTGTAAGGTCCGGTTCTGAAGCCAGAAACATGGCTGTAAGGTCCGGTTCTGAAGCCGGAAACATGGCTATAAGGTTCGGTTCTGAAGCCGGAAACATGGCTGTAAGGTCCGGTTCTGGAGCCGGAAACATGGCTGTATGGGCCGGCTCTGGAGCCGGAACCATGGCTGCTAGGACCGGTACCTGTGTACGAGCTGGCTTCCTGACCTTGCGTCTTTTAGAAGTCTTTTGGAGGCTCCGTGGACCTCCAAACGCCAGACGGGATCCCAAGAAAGGGTCAGAGAATGGAGACTGGCACTCAGGGCTGCGTGAGAAAACTCTGAGAAACTCAGGCAATGAGCCTCTCAACCATGGCATGTTGTCCACCTCCATTTGTGCCTTTTTGAGGACAGCCTCTTTGTCCCTTTTAGCCAAGGTTCTACTCCATTCAGCATAATGACACTGAAGAGTGTACTCTAGGGATAACAAGTCCCAATCAAAATTAAAATCCGCTGGGTCCATTGTTGGTCGGTTCGTAATATTACGGTGTGCAGGAAGCAGGACCCAAATGCAGATTTAAGTGACAAAATAATTCCTTTATTTCAAGGCTACGATATTCAGAGACAGAACAGCACACTCACCGCAGTTTACTCACAACACAAGACGAACCGACACTGAACACAGGAAGAGACAAGACTAAATACAGGAAGGGGTAATCACAAGACGAGACAGAGCCGGGCAGGGGAGGAGAAACACAAGGGCCACAGGTGAAAACAATCAGACAACTAGACACACCAGGGAAACTAACGACGGGAGGAAAAACACAGGAAGAAGGACCAGACAATATACAAGGATGAAAATACCCATAACCAGACATAAGAGGCTTCTCAATACTCAAATTTCCCCTCCTCGACTCCCCTCCTCGGTTCCCCTCCTCGAGACTTAGACCCGCCCACAGGAGATGCGAGCGGAGGACCGAGGAGGGGAACCGAGGAGAGAGGAGGGAAGCAGCAGACGTTTAAAGAAATGAGAACTCCTCTCCTCTGAGCGGTCATTTTAAAGAGACGTCCGTTCATTATTACGTGGCAACAGCTGCATCAGCTGTCGAGTGTTTTGTCATAGCGCTGTATCTCTGTTAGATCAGCTGAACATTGTTCCCCCACATATTTACTTTGAATTCATTGAGAGTGCGGTATAATGAGACAATAACAGGCTACAGATGCGGACACACACACACAAATATATTTATATAAATATATACAATTTAAAGTATGAGAGCACTCTACTCTCATAATAACGTAACACAATCAGAGACTGGATATATCCCCCCCTCTCTCTGGTCGCTGAAATGGGGAATTGAAATTACGGGCCAAAAGTTTTATTTACAAGTAGGCCTATTAAAAGTAAGCAGAGGACACCAAACCAACTGAGACCCGTCTGTCCGCCGCATTTACGCACTGTACAACACATACCTACACACTGTACCACACACACCTACAGCTCCTAAAGTATAAGCCGTTGTGTATTTTATTATGTGAAGCAATGGTCTTAGAAAAATATCGACTCTTTGTTTGTAGATATCTACTAAACTAAAGCAAATAAAGAGAGTAGGCCTGTTATACTGAGTGATATATATTATACACACTGCTCTGCTTTCTGCATGGACCTTACAGCTGTTCTCTCTGGAAACATCGCGACGCGATGAAAGCAGTTTCTAAAATAATATCCAGGGGATGCATGCATAGCTGTCATTGGCTGAGATAAGTCCGGCCGTGCGTCACGCCTCCCCCGTTCCCGGAAATGCATCCGTGGAGGAACCATCAGTGTATCCTCGGTTAGAGCTCCTCGACGCTCGATCCTCGGTGTGCATTTAGAGAAATGAGATGTCCTTCAAAATGGCGCGCTGAAATTCATTTCCGGGTCACTACCGGAGGACCGAGGACCGAGGAGTCGAGATTTGAGTATTGAGAAGCCTCTATACAAAACTACAACACAGACAGATCCTAACATTATCTATGAAATTGCAATATTGTCCCTCAGTTTGTTTCAACCCCGTCACGCCATACCATACCCTCCTATTAAAATAATGGATCAGTCCATGTGTGATCTGCATTGAGGGAATTACATCACAAAATTGTCAGTTTCTTCTCTTACCTATATTTCAGTTTTTGTATTTTCAGATTAAGATTGACAAGCTCAACATTTCAACTATGTTGTATGAATTAATAATAGTAAATAATTGTTTATTACAAAAATAAACAATAGTTTTGCAAAATATTACAATTTTGTAATGTCCTTGACTTCCATGTGGTGCCATATCTTAGCTAAACAAGGTCTCATGCCTACTTTTTGTCAAAAACGTCAACCCTGTTAAATTTTTTCAAGGAAATTCCTAGTAATTATTTATATTTTGTGCCTGAGGTGGGAACATGTAAGTA